AGCATGGAAGAATTACTGGCTCCTTTAAGGCAGGCTGTGCGGGAACAGGTAGGTTTTTCATCTGAAGATCATGCTCGTTTTCCAGATTTCTTTTCAGAAAAGAAATCTGAAGATCTTCAACAAGCGTTATTCTTGTTACTTTTTAATCATAGTTTGTTTCGCTAAATAGATCATGATCATTTCAAGTATCTGTCATTTTTGTTTTCACATATATCAGAGCATTGCTTAGCCCAGGGGTCTGCAACCTTTAACACCCAAAGAGCCATTTGGACCCGGTTTCCACGCAAAAGAAAAAACTGGGAGCCGCAAATACTTTTTGATAACTAAAATGAAGATAACACTATATATATTGTTTTGTTTTGTTTTTTTTACCTTTATGCTTTTTGTGAACTTCTAATGTGTGTTGCTTATCCACGTAGCAAACAAAAACCGTTGTGAGCCGCCGCCCTTATATCGCCTTTGGGCTTTTGGAGCGTTGACCTGGCTTTTAAAAAAAAAATAATTGGAAAAAAAGCACTATGCTGCTAAAAGATGAAAATAGATATTTGCAATATTCTGCCTAAATATGTATTTTACCTGGTTAATGTGTGTGGCGGGGCGTGGTCTGCAGCGCCGCTGCAGGGGAGACGGACGCACCTGAGCGGCACCCGCAACGTCTCACAGTCTGTGCTCTCTAGGCTGTTGTGTCGGGCTGTGAGCTGAAAAGCTACAGCCGGCTGTATGCGTACAGCAACCGTGTGTGAAAAGTGGTCAATAAAGAGATGCGGAAAAGCGTGTTCATGCAAACATCGTCGGGTCTGCCGTGATGTGTTTACAATGGGACTTCCTGAACCTCTGCGCCCAGCGTCTGCAAATCAGGGCTGTACAAGTCACTTTCATCTTTACGCAGGACTGTAAGCTGTCATCTGTGAGGCGTGAGCGGTGTTTGTTTTTAACATAGTTCACGGTGGAGAACAGCTGCTGACATAATGTGGATCCGAAGATCCATAATTGGCCTACCTGGGGTTGAAAGTCTCGATAAATGCACGGCGTTTCCGCGGGTTTACCGGCTTCCGCGAGTGTGACGCTTATTTTGAGCGATGAAAAAAATAATAGAATATAATTTTATTTTTATATTTCAATATCACAATAATCTTCCAATTTAGAACTACAAGTTTAAAAAGATCTAACATAAATAAAATATACTTCAGCTAAATACTTCTAATTTATTTTCCCAAACCTCGCGGAGCCGCACTATAAGGACTATAGTTGCCGACCCCTGGCTTAGCCTTTGTTACTGAAACTGAAAAACCACATAATTCGAGTGTGGAGGGGAGGTAAAGTGTAGTTCTGTTCTGCAGGGTGACTTGGTCCGTGAGTTAAGGGAGAAAGGTGCTCCGGAGCAGGAGGTGAGCAAAGCCGCTGCAGAGCTGAAATCACGGAAAAAGACTCTTGAAGCAAAGGTGAGAGTCTCACAGCTCCCGATTGGCCTTTGCACTGATTCTGCTTTCAGTTTGACATGTTTTTCCTCGCGTGCCTCTCTGCTAACATTTATGACCCCCACTCTGATTAAGAAATAGTGCCTCACACCATCATTTCCCATTACAGGAACTGGCTCTGCAGCCCAAAGAGGACACAGTGGATCGAGTGAAGATGGAAGATACATTGAAGAGGAGGTTCTTCTATGATCAGGCATTTGCCATATATGGAGGTAAGGTAGCAGAAAGGAAGGATAACAGAAGCTGATACAGGAAAAGCTGAAAAAAATGCTGTACATGCTGAAAAAAACAAGAAAACACTTGTGGAAATGCTTCATTTTTTAATCAATATTTATTTTAATTTGAAAAAAAAATCTACTTGTTCCTCAGGTGTGAGTGGCCTGTACGACTTCGGGCCTGTGGGCTGTGCTCTGAAGAACAACATCCTGCAGGTGTGGAGGCAGCACTTCATCCAGGAGGAGCAGATCCTGGAGATCGACTGCACCATGCTGACCCCCGAGCCCGTCCTCAAGTAGGTAAGCACAAATTCAAGTTTGGCTTCTAATAGATTTGTCCTATAACCAGCTCCCCATTTGTT